GTAATAGAAGCAAATAGAAAGAATATCTGAAGCTTGCTAGTTTATATACTTACTTGCAAATCGCATAAAACGACAGTTATAGGGAATTATAGAAGGGATAGCCTGACCCAAGATAAAGGCCGCTGTCGTAATTACTTAAATTTTAACGAATGAAATACAAAAAGTAAAACAAACAAACAAAAAGATCTCTCAGGCGGGGAATTGAACCCCGGTCTCGCGCGATCCAGAGTTAAACCCCTACTCTGACAGGCGCGAATACTAACCACTATACTACCTAAGATGCTCTTCCATCAAAATAACATCCTATTTCCCGGGCTCCGGAGTTGGTCAAGAAAGAATTCATCCCATCATACTTTAGATAGTGCCCAGCTCCCTAAAGAGTAAAGTTCGTAGAAATCTTAGGATATGTTCTTCATCACATATGTAATAGTCCACGTTGATTGAATCTCTCCTCTATCATGAGTGATTGACTCCAAACTTCCTCACTTCTCATCAACTGCGCGCTCACGAGTTACTCTGATAAAAACGAACACTCGCATTTGCGCCTCCTGTCAAAAAATTTCCCACACATCTGGCCCATCCAGGACTTCCATGATACGTTCAATTGATGGATGCAAAGGCGGTAAAGGCTTCTTCTAGAGTCTTTCCTTATCGAAGTCGTCATCTAGGACGATGACAGCCACAATCTCTTCGGTGCCATTTAGAAAAGCGGGAGTCACGCTCACGTACGCATCGTCTGGCAGTGCTGTTTCAAGGATGGCATCGACGCACGTATTGGCCCTGCCCTTGTCCGATGGGTCGAACTTACTTGGAGGCCAGCTTTTCGTCGCTGAAGGCGTAACCTTTTACGAAGGGCGCTAAAAATGTGGCCATCGTCGACAAGCTATAAAGGTTCGTGGTTCACTGGGCACCAGACTCGGATGGATGGCGAACCTTTCCAGTGGCAAAATTTAGTGGCTCGCTGGGATAGTGTGAAGTTTCCGAGTTTCGACTCTTTCGCTTGCTTTTTCGTCTTTTTCTTTTTCTTTTTCTTTTTCTTTTTCTTTTTCTTTTTCTTTTTCTTTTTCTTTTTCTTTTTCTTTTTCTTTTTAGGATCAACGAGATACAGTGATCTGGCATGCCCATGCACAGACGCACTTTAAAGTTTATCTCCAATCCTCTCAGTCTATTTTTCCCCATGAATTACCAAAAAGACAAAGGCAGAAAATAATCAAAAATCTCTCAGGCGGGGAATTGAACCCCGGTCTCACGCGGACTTAAACTTCGAGGTAAAGCCTCAGCCTGACAGGCGCGAATACTAACCACTATACTACCTAAGATGGAGAACCGTGACTGTCGATGCAGCCAAGGGCTAAGGCCTTTTCCAGCTTATCGCCATCACTGAATGGGACCATTCTGAGAGATGGAAGGTGTGCGACTGAGCAGAGAGGGCCTTCTTTTAACTAATGAGCCTGAAAATTCCCCTTTTCTTCGCGGCGTTTAATCCGCGTTGATGTATAAAAACGCACTTACCTGTTATCCTTCGAAGCTTTCCCCCTTAGAATCATGTGTTCCGTTAATTCCATCTCTGGGGTGTTAAGGAGACTTGCTAATATGATGATATTTCTTCCAACCAAATTCCTATGTGAATCCTCAAAGGCCGCCACATAACCTAGATCCCCGCAAATCCTGGCTTTCACTGACAGTTCTTCTCAGGAATAATCAGAGTATGAAAGGCACATGGTTAAATACCCTGATATACAACCATCACTGGAGTCTCCGTTGATTATGAGTCCGCCATGAAGAGAATTAAAGAAGTCGAGTGGACGCCTTATGCTGTCTGCATAGACAAGTGGTATGTGGCATCTCGTATGCTTCGCAAGATTGTCGAAGTCATTGATTGATTCTGCTGGTTGGAGATCTATATCCAGAGGATGAGATAATATATAGCGTGTAGCACACGGAAGAACAAGATTCGTGAGTAGACGTGAAATCAAAGTCTGCGTAAGCATTATCCAAATCTGGCATATGCATTAGCTCATTTAAAATATAAGTAATGATTTCCAGTGGCGGAAATCGAGCGAAGACGAGCAAACGTATGTAACTATAATCAGTCGATTTCGGGAAATAAAAGCCATTCGTATTGTCAGATAAGCAAAAGCAAAACAAAAACTACCAAATTTAAATGACATATGTAAGTATAAAGTATGATTTTCTGAGAAAGAAAACATACACACCTTTAATATAACAGACAGTAGTCTGGAGACGTCTCCAAAAGTCTGAAGAAATAAGGGGAAAGTAAAACTGGAGAATAAGCGTAGAACTAGTGTTGCCGCGGTCCCAGACCGTTACGTTTTCCCACGTCGCTTACAAGCGAAGGAGCAATCACTTTTTCCTGAAATTTCATTTTGGAGATCTACAACCTTTCTATTTTCATTTTATATACTCCGTTTTCAGCCAAAAAATCTAGGAGCCATTTGGTCCCGGTTCGGTCCCCGGGACTAGACCGAACCGCGGCAACACTACGTAGAACCCTGAGCCTGCCGAGGGGATATTCAATAAGTAACCCAACACGTAGTTCTTAAGAAATTGGTCGCAATATAAGACGAGGACAACATGAAATAAAACCGCAGAATTCAACGTCGTTTACAAACCGTTGATCGAGGAATGCGCGGAAGGCTATGGACACCTATGGACCCCGTCCCTGACGCAGTCCAAGCCAACCCAAGCAACACCGCGACGGGCGTATTACTGCTTACCACCCCGCCTCGAACTTCTCCATTCGCCCATCTCCCTAACCATCTGCATTATCCCAAATCTTCGCCGTACCTCCACCGCACGCCGCACGATAAGCCATGGCGGCGTACTTCTTTGCGCAGCCTGTAGACATCGACTTGAAACTCGAGGGCGAGGAGGGCCGCAAGCAGGTCGAGCTGAAGCTGGAGAAAGAGCGACGGGAGTCCGCGCCGATATACTATGATGGGGACTCGATTTCGGGACAGGTGTGTGCTGTGCTTTGCGTGTTTGGAGTGCTTGTTGGGTGGTGCGCGTATTTATGCAGTTGTGATTGTAGGCGACGGTGCGTGTGAGGGACGGGAAGAAGTTGACCCATGACGGGATTAAGATTGAGTTTATTGGGAGCATTGGTGTGTGCATTCTTTATTCGGGGGTTATTATGCGGTGTTGATTATAACCTGTGTGCACGTGCAGAGTTATTCTACGACCGAGGACACCACCATGAATTCCTGTCCCTATCGCAGGAGCTGGCTGCTCCGGGGGAGATGCGCCAGGCGCAGACGTTTGATTTCAACTTTAAGAATGTGGAGAAGCAGTATGAGAGCTATCAGGGGATTAATGTCAAGCTTAGGTACGTGCGGTCGTGCGCAGCCGTGTTTATGTTTATGTTTATGTTTACGTTTGCGCAGGTATTTCGTCCGGCTGACAATCTCGAGACGGCTGGCGGACGTGACGAAGGAGCGCGAGCTCTGGGTGCATTCGTATCGTATGCCGCCGGATATCAACAACTCCATCAAGATGGAAGTCGGGATTGAGGATTGCTTGCATATCGAGTTTGAGTATAACAAGTCCAAGTGAGCTTCTCTCCTCCTCTCGTTATTCAGACACTGACTTTGATCTTGGGACGCAGATACCACCTGAAAGACGTCATCGTAGGCAAGATCTACTTCCTCCTCGTGCGGATAAAGATCAAGCACATGGAGCTATCCATCATCCGCCGCGAAACGACAGGGGCCGTGCCGAACCAGTATAACGAGAGCGAAACGATAACCAAGTTCGAGATCATGGACGGTGCGCCTGTACGAGGTGCGTTGCCGTTCACCACAGCTCGAATGCCATGCATGCTCACGTTACATTGCATTACACAGGCGAAACGATCCCCATCCGCCTCTTCCTCGGCGGCTTCGAGCTAACACCCACCTTCCGCGACGTGAACAAGAAGTTCAGCACGCGGTATTACCTCAACTTGGTGCTCATCGACGAGGAGAACAGGCGGTATTTTAAGCAGCAGGTGCGTACCCACACTTCACACTTGATACTTATAGACGTCCTTGCTCATGCCCATCTCGGCGTGCTCGTTTATAGGAAATCACGATATACAGGATACCAGAAGTGCGTTCTTCTTTCATTATATGGCGTTCTCGGAACCATGGCTGACACTTCACACAGAACTAACCGACTTTCTTCCTTGCCTTCTTCCTTCTTCCTACCTTCCCGTAATATGTTTATACATACATTACCGGCCATGTATTTTGCTTGCTTGTTTTTACTTGCTTGTCTTATTTCTTTCTTTCTTCGTTCTTTCGTTCTTCCTTATTCCGCATTCGACCGCATCTCGATTACCACGTCCACACCCATGTTCATATTTATCATTCTATCCACATGCTCATGCTCACGCTCTGCAATGCAAGGACAACGAACGATATCGGCGTTCATCAGTGTTCATCCCACCACTCAATACAGATACATAGCATCGATATCCAGCACTCGGTCCCACCGGGTTTCCTTCCCACCTCTCCTTCCATATTCCTTTCCACCCTCACGCAGGAAAAAACATACACCGTACACGAGCGGGCTTGAGATTCAAATTGGGGAGATATGATGTTTATCTATCCCACTGGCATTCGTATCATTCAATATATCTAGCATCGAGATCACATCAAAGCAACGGTCTCCTTACTTCCCCACTTCCCATTCGATATTCCATTCCTTCCACCCTCCAAAAAAGTGACATACAGATTCGAACTCGGGGACATAAGTACACACATAGTAGGTAAAAATAACCCAATAAGTATATGAGGTTGCATCCGGGAAATGGTGGTAGGTAGGTGGGTAATGAAACGGAGCCACGGCGAGGGGGTATTCCAAGTAAAGAAAAAATAGGTAGGAGAGTGGATTGAAAGGCTTTCGAAAAAAAAAAAAGACTAGGATCGAAAACAAGAAATGAAAAGAAGAATGAAAAGAAGAAAACCAAGCCCAAAAACCGGGTGAAAAAGGCGACGCAAAAGCAAAACACAAAACGCACACGGTCTAAAATCGAAATACTGAGAAAACGAAATCCCGAAAATAAACGCAGTGCACAAGACAACGCAAAATGAACGAACGAACAGACAAATACAGCGCAGGGTATTCCATCAGACGCAGGGCACCACGGTCCACCGAGGAGCCCAGCCCAGCGCATCCTCCCATCCACATCACTCTATACCCTCCAACCACCCATGCTCCTTCCCCTTCCGCACACACAACCTAAACCTCATCCCTAACATCACCACTCTTAACATCCTCCACATCCTAAATCCTATATCCTCTCCCGCCCAAACACCCCCGAATCCAACCTCACAAGCCCCGTACCCTTACCCCCACCACGCCCAAGGATCATCTCCGTATGGAGCATCGCGTGCCGGTCGTCCACGCTGGAGGGCATGCCCGGCATTAGGGTGAGGTCCTCATCCACGTCATCCATGTCTACAGAGTGCAGGGAGTAGGACTTTGAATGGGATCTGGATTGGGAGGCGGATTTGGATGCTTTGGCGGGCGTACGTGCTGCCGTCGTCGCGCTGGACTTCGACCTAGATCTGGAGCGCGCGACCGTCCGCGCTGGCGCCGCACCATACACATCCAGCGGATACGGCGGCATCTCCATCTCCGTCTCCGTCTCCCGCTCCTCCAGCGCAATTGGGCTTTGGTACTCGGGGACATGCTCGTGGTCCAGCGGCGACGCGCGCAGGCTCACGCGGTTCTTGCGGTGGTGGGGGTGCGGGACGACGGTGACGGTGGGCGTGCTTTGGGTCACGCTGCGGGTCTTTACGCGCGTGAGGGCGTTTGAGGGGCTCGTGCGGGCCCAGGCGGAGGTGCCGGTGTTGGTATTGCCATTGTCGTCCACGGAGGAGTTGGAGCCAAAAGACGAAGGCGACTCCGACACGTTCATACGGTCCAAATCCAGCTCGTCCTCCACGTCCATAGGCGTCCTCGGAAGCGACTGCACCGTCATTCTTGCCTTCAGCCCGTCCCGCTCGCTAATCTGATCCTCCAACGTCCCAGACCGTGTCAACGCCGGCGTGGAGCCTCTCTCGTCTCCTTCCACCACTCCTCCATACGCCCCCTCCCCATTGGCAACGGCAACATCATCGGAAACAGCAACGCCCCCACCGTGCGCCCCATCCAACATCTCAGGATACGGATACTCCCCCGGGGGAAGCACTCCATCCGCTGCGCCCAACGCACCCGGCGAAGCCGACGGCGTGTTACTCAAACTCTCGTCCCTACGCCGTCGATAAAACAACTCCTCATCCTCCTTCTCATCGTCCGGCGCACCAAACGGGTC